TAGTTTGTGTGCTTTTATTATCTTTGTTTATCGTAGTTTTGCCTCATTAAATTATGTCAGATGAATAATAGGGGAAAGGTACCGAGGCACTGGAACATTAAAGCTAACCTACCTAGAGGGTACTTAGTATCAGACAGTGCTGTCTGGATTTAGAGATCCTGACTCTGCAGAAGCACATATGTGTAAGGACATTTTTAAAAAATTATGGCTGGATCTAGCCATAAATTACATAATTTTCAGTGGCTCTGTGCCTAACCTGTGCTACACATTTTTTCTTCTTGGTAGTAAGCACGCGCTTATACTGGTTTAATGCCTGTAGTTCAATAGACAGTACAGATAAACAGTTCCTTTTGGGTCGGTGATTTAAGCTCTGTTATCCAAAGGGCTAGCTCCAATCCACCAATTCCTTGTGTGGGAGGGGGAAAAAAATGTTTCTGTCAAGTTTTGTGTTGCTCGAGGTTAAAGTCTTGTTTTCTATTGGTATGACCAAGGAAAGTTGAGCTTGGGGGACAGGAGGTTGGTTGATTAGCTGAGGTGGTTTTGTTGTAGGGCGTTTTTTTGGGGGGTGTTTGGAGGTGGTTCTGGGTTTGGGTTTATTTCCAGAGTGGTAGCAAAGCAGTGCTAGAAATACACTGCCTCCACAAACCTGTCTCAAAGGAGAGCCTTCATCCTTGTACTCAGTATGAACTAGGGCACTTCTGAAACCGTAGTGCTTTTTCTTGCTTGCTTGCCACAAGTGGGTTTTGCTCTATGCTTCTACCTAAAGCCCCTTGATCATTCTTTTTGCTCCTGCTCAGGTTTAATTCTCAGTTTACTATCAGTTGTCACTAGCAGAGATGTGATACAGAGTTTCTAAAGCCAAGCACTATGGAAAAGCGGAGCACGGAGTTTGGATTCCCTTATCATTCACAGAACTGAGCCTTCCAGGTCAGGGTAGATTGTGTTTTTGCCACCATCTGTTGTGCCTGGGGTTGCCAACGCAATACTTGTCATGACCAGTAACCTTACACAGTTTGCTGTTAAAAAAAAAAAGTGGATTTTTTTTTTTTTTTGGTCATCAACAACTTCTACTCTTACATGAATTTCTATGTGCTTTCAGAAGGCCAATTTTAAGAACAAATTACATGGCAGGAGAATGCGTAACACATGTAAGAAATTATCTAGGGTTTTGGCTCTGAAATCTGTATTTGGGAGCTGACCAGTTTTTCAAATTCTGACCCAGCAATATGCAGGTAACTTTGGTAATCTCTTATTTAAAGAGTGCCTAAAGCACTGCTAATGACCTCCTCACTATAGGAAACATCTTCTGTAGATTGTCTTGTGCATTTAGCAGCTTCTGGTGATTATTTCGCCATGTATTTAGAGCAGATTCCAGTTAGCATATGAGTAACATCGTGTCAGTCCTAGTTCTTTCGTTCTGACATCTCTTTTGGCTCCCAGTGTGATTTGGCCCGGTTTTTCAAAATGTTGATCCTGAGTCCAAATGTAACTTTGTGGGTGGTACATATGTCAAGCCCTAGTTCAGTATTTTTGGACAGCAGTAGCATTTCATAATTCTTTTGAAATGAAAAGAAGAAACGAAGTTAACTGAAAAAAATGCAGCTAGATCTAGCTGGGCACAAGCTCGCCTTTTCTACTCCCCCCTCCGCCCTACTGTTTTTCAATTTGGAAAAGTAGAGGTTTACGTGGCAGAAGCACTTGACAGGATTTAGGCTCATTCAAAGCAGCAAGCAATAGCATAGCTTTGTCTCTATAACCTGTCTTGTCATGCCCTGGTGGCCACTGAGACCTCCTGGGATGCGGATGGGAAAGATGGGGAGAGTGGAGGGTTGCAACCCTGTGTTTGTGTTTGTTAAAACAGTGAGCTAGGCTGAATTACGTAGATGGCTGAATAAGGCCATGTTGGCACTAAAAAAGCCAAACAACCCCCTCAGGTTCTCCATATGTCTGTGTTTGATATACCTACTGCCATATTATATCTTTATATACAGCACACTCTAAACAGCACAGGAAGGTATAAATGCAACTTTACTACATAAAATCAAGTGAAATAGTCCAGAAGGTTGTAGCTTGTGTGAAATAAACACACAAAGTACAGGAGATTTCACAGGGCATAAATCAAAATGAACTTCATAGCTTCCTTCCTTCCTTCTCCCCAGTGCAGTTGCTGAGCTGCTAGCTGAAAAGCTGTCCTTCATCCTTCTCTTGCAGCAAACCACACGCTCGTATATATTATTAATTTTGTTTACTAGTAATGCAGGACATAGGTACTTTTCTAGAGTGTCTCAGGTTGCTTTTCAATGTGTCTGTGCCAGCTCCACTGCCGCAATTGCAGTTCTGAGCATTGTTTTTCAAGTGCTGATAATTTTTCAGGCAATAGCAACATCAGCAAAAAAAGCGTGTTTGAGATGAGTCTTGCCACCGAAGTTCTGAGCCTAAGAGGTGATTTTCTGTGAGAAACCACAAAACAAATCACTGCAGCCCTCTGGGCTTCCCTCACTTAGTCGCATAGCTTCAGAGGTCATAGGCTAGCCAGCTGCCCTTCGTAATCTGCTGATGAAACAAGTTAGCTTCAGCCCTTGCAACATGGCCTCTTCCAGCAACTTTGCACCGTTGCGTAGCAGTTGAAGGCCCTAGGGATGATGGTCCTTGTGGTGGTTCCATAAAAGATGCTGGACTTGGCAGTGGGGACCGTTCTTTTGAAGGACACCGGCCTGAATGATGCTTTTTTCACCCCTTCTCTTTCTCCTTCTTCCTAAAGTGCAGTCAGTGTGAGGTGCTACGCAGGAGAATATAAGGAAGGAGGGGAGAGAGGAAAGAAAACTTGATCCCTGTTTTTGGCTACTTACAGGACAGTGTAAAGTGGGGGCTTCAGACTTAAGTATTTGTAGTTACCTTACAGATAATATAGTTTGTGGGCCTGTCAGGCTTGTGGTTTGATTAGTCATTTGACTCTGATGCCCAATATGGACTCAGCTGATACCCTTTTTCTTGGTGTCAGAGCACAGCTGGCTCTTTGCAAGGAATAGGAAGGAGTTCAGACTCCTCCTCAAGGAGGTTTCGCCAGGGCTCTCAGCACTGTAGGTCCAGCTGGAAGCTTTGGGACATGTTCATGAGCAGCCGGGATGGTAAAATTCTTCCTCCACATTCAAACCAGGATATCCAAGTTAGTGAGTGAGGCAGAGATGTTAGCTATTCCCTGTTGGAAACAAAGGAAGGAACAAGAGCAAAGTCCATGACTGACTCATCCTTCCCAACAAAATGCTATTCCAGGATTTAAACATCAGGGAAATATTATCATGCTGGCTACTTGTAGTGATTTGTGCCTTTTTGTTTGGTTTAAGAGCTAATCTGTTTGCCCTCCCCAGTACAAAATGCCATTTAAATGCCTTCACTGTATTGTCTCTTACAGAGATGCCCAAGTATCATGGTTATATACCCAAGATACTCTTGACTACGTGGTCTCCCATGAAGGACCCACTGTGTTTTGCAAACCTCACTTGGATCTGTTTTGGGATTTCACAGCTAGTGATGTTTTGTAGTATGGGAGCGGAGTCCTCCACTAGTTTCTTCTTTTGTGTGTTGGTTGTTTTTTTCTTTTTTCTACCCCTCCCCTAACCCCCAAACCCTAATATGGGCCCTACTTGTGATTACTGGGAAATGTAAAGGTGGGGCTTAAATGTCTGTGCTACCCTTAAAGTCTGAGGCTTGCCTAGGTGATGCAGCTGTGTAATACAGCACCATTTATTGATCCCAGGTCTATGCCATATATTGGTGAAGCAGAGGGCAGTTCGATTACAATATAGGATTTCACCCTTAATTTTTAATTTCCTGCTGGTTTGTGTCACAGCCTTAACATTGCTTAAACATGATTGAATGTGACTCCCCAGAGCTCAAGCAGCCAGCCCGGCTGGAGAGCCATGCAGCAGGGGCTGGCAGGGGCCCCGCCACGGCACCTGCCCTCTTCCTGCTTGTCCCTTCCACTTTGGCTGGTAGCGCTGACTCGTGTGCTCAGGGCATGATTTTGGTATCACCCTGAGGGCTTTGGGCTGGGGTGGGCCAGGAGGGAAGGACGACATACAGGGAAAGGCTGGGGAGGGACAATTTTGTGGTGTGAAGGAAAGCGTGTCCCTCTGGGGTGAGGTACTTTAACCAATGAAGCTCCCCAGCACCTCAGCTCGATCGTGTGTAATACAAACCACAGGATTCTACAGCTTATGAGAATGACACACATCTATATTTATTTATTTCTCAATGGCAAAATTGCTCACCTTCTCACCTCATCAGTGACAACAGCTGGGTGTGTAAAAGGTAGAGTACGCAGGCATGTGGTAAACAGAATCCGAGCATGAGCATTTACATCTCTCGTCTCTTGGCCATGGGAAAACTGCTGTGAAACGTGAAATCTCTGACAACCTTGACTGTTGCAGTCAAGGTCGAATGAGCACTAAATATCCTTCTAAGACTCTTCAGCCCGTGAAGCTTGTCTTGGTTTAAGTGGTCCTGAAAGGTGAGAACAGGATCGGAGAGCTGTTTCACACTTTGACTGTGTACACATCCTGTCGTTGCTCACCATTTCACATTAACTGTGTGAATCTAGTCATCGGTTAGCTTCTTGGTGGGTTTGGGTTGGTATTTTTTTGTTTGGTTGGGGTTTTTTTTATGACACTGTATTACGGTGTAGCTGCTGCTATAGCCAACGATATCCTACCTGATTAGGATGTTATTCTAGTCCACCTCTTTTTCCTTGCAAGCAATAGGAGCAGCTCGGCATGTTAGATATTTCCTCGTGTTCACTTTTCCTTTTGGTAAAATGGATAATTCTTTAGGGAAAATCTTTCCACAGAAAAAGAAATTTACATCTTGTGTCAAAGATAGAATCCCTAGGAAAAATAATGGTTTGTTTTTTTTTTTTTTTTTAATCACAGCTGCTTGGATCAGGGCACTGGGTCACTAATTGAGTGCAAGCTTTATAAATGTTGTTTGTCCTCTCCCCACAGGGCATACAAAACCATTGAGGAAGATGACTTGAAGTTTCCCCTTATATACGGAGAAGGCAAGAAGGTGGGCATGTTTGCTTTCCTCAAACGAAAGGAAGAAGGAATTTTGTGCTGTTTACCACTCGATTTAGCCTGTGGCAGTCCAGTGTTTTCCACTCAGTATCTCTTTATTTTATCGTTTTGACAGCTTGAAAGAATATCTTGGTTCTGTCATAAATCAGTCTCATGTCTAGGGGGCGGCGGGGGGAGCTCAACATACTAGAAAGCATTTTTATAGCAAACATAGTCATTTGCTGTTCAGTTTGCGTTTGTTTTTCTTTCATTGTAAGTAGGCTACAATGAGACTGTCTTAAATAATTGACTTAAAATGTTCCTGGTTTCATTGTAAAATATAACTAGGCTAGATGAAGATAGCAAAATACTTCATGTTTGCTGAAGACAAAGCAGAAGGATATTTAATAACATTTTAGAGTGCTCTGAGATGCAAACCCCTAATTTAGGAAGGGGAGGGATCAGGGCAGGATTTGGGAAGTATAACACCCCTTAACCATATCTTCTTCAGCTAGTGTACGTGAACTCACTGTTGAATTTTTCTGATGTGTGAATGCTGATATTTTTTCTTGAAAGGGAGAAACAAACTGTTCTGTTTGGGTGTACTTTGTTTCTAGCTCCGTGATTAAGAACAGTGAGATCATCAGTGCTGGTCTCAGCAAGCTTAGCTGGATGCAGCAATAGGATCAATATAAGGACGCAGTGGTGTCAGTTTGCCGATATTGGTATGCTTGCTGTGTTTCTAAATAATGCTCCCCTGCTGCATTAGGTTCTTACCTCAATGCAAAAATACACGCTTTTCAAAATTAGTCCAAGTTTTGAAGGTTCAGACCTGCAGCTTATCTCTGAAGTTGGTTAGGTTTATAATTATTTGCAAAACATTTCATGCACATCTTTTTAATTTACTTTCTGATTCCCTTACGGAGCCAGGGGTTAGCGAAGCAAAATAATTTTGAGTCAGTTGCTCGCTGTTATTGATGCTGTGAGCTCTCTTGTTCAGAAGCTGCTGCAGCTAAACTGGAGTTTGCGGGAAGTGATATGCAGAGGGCAGAGGGCAAGGTTCCCCATGAGGCAGTCTGCCTGGTCAGTCTTTGGAGAAGCGTTAATGAAGAAGAGCCCAGTACCTCTTCGGAAACAGCTCATGTCACAGAGGAAGGTGCTTGGGGAAGGAAGTGGTAGATCTGAGGTAATAGCAGACCTGCCCTGGACCGGCTCTCCACTGTGGTCAGTGCCACCGCCACCTGCGTGTTCAGCAATTTAAGGTGGCCTTCGGCACTTTTCCTTGGTGAAGGGAATATACAGCAATATGTCAATAGGAAGAGGCCGCAGGTTTCTTAGGTGAGTAATCAGGGTCCTCATCCTTTTTATAAAACCTGTTTGCTACCAGTATAATTTGCTGAAGGAATGCGCTCGTAGACTGGTGTGGGACAGCAAGGCGACTGGGTTGGGTTTCCGTAGTCCCAGTTCCTTACAGATGGCCACAGTCTAAGATGGGTGTACACAGACTGGGATGTGGATGAATACAAAGCTTGGAATAATGAAAGAAATGGAGATGACGTGAGTGTGAAAAGCTTAGAAGTTGATTAGCTGTGTTAAATCTAGCGTTTCTGGGAGAAAAAAGGGAATTCATCCCTAACTGGCAGTTATAGAGTAGGAATATTATCTCATTCCTTATTGACACAGTGCAAGTAACACGATTTGATCCCATCGCTTTTCTTTCTTTCCAGGCTAGAGTTATGGCAACGATTGGAGTGACCCGAGGACTGGGAGACCATGACCTGAAAGTGCACGACTCCAATATATACATCAAACCTTTCCTGTCCTCATCTCCCGAGGTAAAACAGCCAAGGTTCAACTATCTGATTTGTGGGAGAGAAACAAATACACTTAGTGTGCTTATTTGTTCTTCCCAAATTGTCCATTCTGACTGTGGTCCAATCCAGGTAACGTGCTGCCTTTCCCAAAGGTGCAGCATGTTAGTAACATCCACATAGCAGGAACGTTATAAGTTCCCCAGCTATGTGCTCTGCCACTTGTTGCTCCAGATCCCTGGCAGAGCATTGATGCCTTCTCACTCCCCGGTCTATGGTTACCCCGTAGCCTTGCCATTCAGTGTGACAGACACCCATCTCTCCCCACCTCATGCTCCAGCTCCCCTTGAGGCCTAGATCATGCTGCCTTCACAGAAGCTGATGTAAATCTGTGCTCTCCAGAAGGGAGCACTGGATGTCTTCCACGATAGCATAGTATCCTGCATTACACGGAGGATACCAGATCAACTCTTAAGCAGGAAAATGCCAAGAGCGATTGGAAGGGTGCTTTATGCTTCCATCTGTCTGCCCCTTCACCTCCAGTTCTTAATTCTTTATGATGGTTTTGTGCAAACACCAAATAATGGCAGTGTGCATTCCCAAATGATGGCATAACGAGAGGATTATGCGGTATTTGTGTTACGGGTAGTTTTGAATACCTCCATTATTTTGGCTTGCCTTGCCACAAACAATTCCAGTTTTTGACCACCGGAGACAATTGTAGTGAAGGATATCGAGCCTTCCAAAGGGATTTGAATGTATTTGTTAAAAAGAAACATGCAAACCTCGGGGTTTTTTTCCAAATGACACATATTTTTCATAAAATATTAAGCAAGGGCAAACCATCCAATGACAGCACAAAAAGATGAGGCTTTGCTTCCGTGGCCCAAACGCTGAGAGCCGTCCACTGTCAACTGGTTTGCTGGAGTTTTAACCATACCCAGTATTTGACCTTGAATTTGTTGCTTGCTATAGCAGTGTGAAAGAATGAAAATACACAAATGGCATAATACTGCTAGGAAGGAACCAAATTATTAAATTAACCTTGCTTAGAACATCTTTGAGACTTTAAAAATAAAAATTAAAAAGGTGCTGAGAGATTCTGGCCCTGAAGAAAAGGAGGAGATCTACAGACAGCCCCTTCTTCACATTTCCTTGCTGTCAATCCAGTACCTTCCCTTTCCCCCCCTTTGAATATGTGGTAACCCTCGCTTGGGACCTGCTGCTGTTCTCAGCCAGGCGGGCAGCAGCTCTGCCCTCATCACTGTGATGGATTTGTTTAGTGCCAGCGAAATGATGCAATTCTACCCATTTATTTTTCTTTCTTGCATGTTGAGACCCAGTGTTTTTGGGGTATGTAATGGCTGCAGCACAGTATCTCAGCAGTATCATCTCTGCCAGTTGCTGCTGCAGTATTTGTCTGTGTGTATAAACTAAAGCTTCTCATGGGCTTTTCTGATTTGTGTGGAGTGTCGTACGTGTTCAAATTCTGGAATATGACATCCAGTTCATATGCTATCCACGTTTCAGGATCTCTTAACTGCTTCACAAAAGGGAAGCAAAATTGGCTTTTTTTCCACATTCCCTTCACAGCTAAATTCAGCAGAAATGTACGAGGGCAGGAGGAGGAAGGACAGAGCACTAGCCACCTCAATCTTGAGATACTGGCAAAAAAGCCCTCAATTTTATTAGGAAGTAACATATGCTCCAGCCTGCTTTCCATTGCACCTTCTCTTAATCATCTCTTCCTTCTTTTCCCAGAGAAAGTCCCAGTGCTTTATCTCCTCGTGTTCTTCCCTGACTTGTTCTGTCCATACATGGACAGTGCACCTTGCACAGAAACCAGCATTAAGAAACAACGTCTTTATGCTGCCATCTGGGAAGCTTGGCACTTGGAAGTAAAGGCAGTGGCGTCAAGCAGCAGTCATATTTAGCCCTTGTGCAGCATTGGATTTCGAATTGTTTATATAGAGGTAGGGAAGCACAATGTCTGGTTTCCAGACCTGGAAAAGGGGAGGCACAGGAAATTAAGGCACGCGGTGAGTCATGACAGAGGGAGGATCCAAGTCCTCTGGCTTCTGTTTCTGTGCCATAATTACAGCATCCTTTCCTAAGTTGGGGGGCAATGTGGCAAGTTTTCAGAACATTTTACTTCCAGTGTGACAAAGCTCTAGTATGCCATGTCCATCAAAATTTAGCTGAAGGAAAGGTAAGCATCCCTGAGACTACATCCAGAAATAGGCATATAAAAGTAATTTGAGGGTGGTGTAAAATGATACTTTGAGAGAGTGCCAGGCTATGGGAGGAGAAGTCATGTAGACAAGACTGACAAATGTAATCAGGATTCAGTGGCTCAGCTGTTACGAGACCAGATTTGGAGGACTTCTGCAGGTTGGTGAGCTCTAGAGAATTGAGCCTTTTATAATGAACTGGAGTAGCACAAAGCAGGCAAGCCATGGCTGAGGCTCTCTGGCATGGAATTAAATATTTATTTTTCATAATGGAACAGTTCATTTGAAAGCTTTCAGAAGGAAATTCTGCTTTTTAAAGCTCAGCAAGATCCACCTTGTTGCAGCTGAAAAGCAGAATTTCATCCTGAGATTTTTCGAACAGCAGCTCAGCCGTTTGGTGGGAGAGGTGTGGCTCTGATGGCAGCGTTTGGCCCTTGCCAGCAATGCACCTGAAGCCAGCCACCACAGCGAATGATAAGAAGGTAATGAAGGAGAATTTTTACCCTTCTGTTATGTTTGTAAAATCTTTCTGACAACTCCACAACTATGTCAGAGGAGACCACTTTAGATTCACATCTGCCTTCTGGAGAAATCTTTTGGAATTACAGCATTTAAAGGAACAAGCAAGGCAAATACTTAGAGAAGTACTGTTTGATCAAAGGGAGTCAAGGTGGTTTCAAGAAGCAAACATCCCGCTTGTAGCTTGAAGTCCTTCAGGGTTATGTCTACCAGAGAATTAAAAAAAAAAAAAAAAAAAAGAAATGCAGTAGATGGTCTTGCATGAGCACTTTGATTTCTCAGAAAACATTTGAGAAGCTGTTCTGCATCACAGGTTATTAATATAAAAGATATGAAGCTATAGATTAAGTGGAAAGTTGGCACAGTCTACTGGAAATTGGCTAAAGGGCAGGAAACAAAGGGTGGCAGTAAAAAGCTAAAAGGAGATTAATTGGTGAGTGCTGCAGGGAGCAGTGTTGGGACCCGCTTTTTATTATTTACATATAAATTACTTGGAGGGTGGTATTGAAAGATCTTGTCGTTTGCCAGCGAAGCTGTGCTGGATAACACTGCGCATAAAAAGGGACGACACAATTAAGAAAGGGCTTAATTTATTGAAGTAGCCGAGTTGATCAATAGTGCAGGCGAGTGAATGCAGGCTGTTGTTTGGCTTGAATTCCCCCGGGGCTGGCTGCTGAGGAGCACCTCAGGTGGCTGCAGGCTCGCGTGTCACTCTGTTGTGAACAGTTTTCAAGCCGCAGGGACTCGCGTTGGCTGCCTCTTAAAAACAAACCTGGCAAACAAGCCGCAGCACCTTCGCAGAACTGCCGTGGTCGTTTTCGGCAGCAAAACGCAGGTTTTGTCCGGTGGGTAGATCCATTTGAAATGTAAATGTAAAACCAGCCCACCTGTTTGTTCGTTGCTTACCCAGAGCATTTTTCTCAGCGCTCTTGACTGCATGTAGGTGAGCAATATAAGAAACAAATATCTGGATTGAAGAAAGGTGTTATGTGACAAACTGCATTACACATGTTCAGAAAGATGTCATGTGCGACTATGGGCTCTAGTGGTGTGTACCCACTGTTACCTACCAGCAGAGGTTTGTAAGTACCAGTCAGAATAAAATATAGCGTAACCCAACTCTTACTGTCGTGGATGTTTGTGCTGCCAAGGTGGTGCTCCTTCCTTACAGTTGGCTTTTTACATTTTCTGGTTACTAAAGTCAAGTTCAGCTAGGTAACAGGTCAGCTGCTCCACATCAAGACATCAGTGGATGGTGGAAGTATGGCGACCAAACTGGGCTCCTTTGAGGGGTGCCCTGATGCTCCAGAGAGATGTTAGCATGAGAAGGTTTGCCAGGGCAGCACAGAAGGGGCCGGGAAGCTGGGGGGAGTTGGTGGCAAGGCTCTTGAGACAGCATGGGAGGCAGAGGACAAAGCATAGGTAGCCCAAGGCGTTTGGGGCAGAGAACGTGAGTTTTGTGGAGCACTATCAGGATTGACGTCTGGCTGCAGAAGCAATGAGTCATGAGGGAAGGCCTGAAGATTCTGGATAGAATTGCTAGGAAATTTGTCAAGGGTGCAGCACCAGTTAAGGAAGTCTTTGTGCTGTTGGATGGTGTCTGGCCAGCCGTCATCTGCGCTAGCGGGGCTGTGTGATACTGTTTTGCAGTACTGTGTGCAGCTTTGTGAAAACTTATGTCGCAGACAGAACGTCGCTTAAACCTCGCTGTTGTTTAGTTTCCCAAAATACAGCTGTGGGAAGGGAGACAGTGGTTAGGTAGGTTGGCTCTGGAATTTAAAAAAAAAAAAAATTAAAACGTAGTAATTTCCATTGGAGGCAATGAGCTGCTTTTGGTCACATAAGATTTACAGGGCTGCGGGGTTGCTTGCTGTTGCAGGCACTTAAGTAACTCCCTGGATCTCTGTCATTCTGAAACTCTCGCCTTTTTTGTAGCGCGTGTGTGGAGTATGCTATGGGGTGTTGCACAGTGTGGGGTGTGTGGAGTGGATGTTGAGTGAGCCCTGCTGGTCTGAGCATCCATTACACACGCCCTGGTGGTGCTGCCCAACCTGTGTGCCTCTGGGAGCTCTGCTGTCACGCTGCTCTGTGTCCATCTGAAGGCAGTGTCGCTACTGCAAGAGACCCTCATTGACCCAAGTAAGAACTAGAAAAAAGCTGCTAGCAGAAAGGTGAAGGGTTAGGAGCTGGGTTGTTTCTGCGCCTGGACAAGGTGGTCTGTGAGCATAACCTGAACCTACGATAGACTGGACAGCTCTAAATTAACTCATTTTTGTCAGCAACGTACTAGGGCCACCTACCGCTGTATTTTAGAAATCCGAGGAAAGACAGAAAGAAAGAGCTTAAGAAAAAATTAAGTACTATGTGGACATGGCTGCTCTAATGTGTTGCTGCTGTGGTAACTGGAAGGCAGACAAAGCTGCCTTTCAGTGAACATTTTGTTGCATGTTCAACTGGTCCTTGTATACAAGAATCTTACCTGAAGTTGCCCCAAGCTTGCCTCCTGTAACCTTGGCACTCTTTTTTCCTTAGCCTGGGTACCAGCCTAGCATCCCTTATTGCTCACCCCACTGCCCTTCTCTGCACCTCTTCTGACATCTAGTTCCTTCTCAGTTACAACCCTTTCTGGAGGTGTTCAGTTCACAAAGCTTTTGCTTTTATGAAGTAACTACCTTCTTTTATGAAGTAACTACCTTGTTCCCAGATTACTCATAATTAGTGATTGAATTTTTTTTTTCTTCTCCCCAAAAACTAAACATGCTCTTGGTAGAATGATCTGTTCTTGGCATTGCTCTAGCATTGTGCTACACCAAGGTTTTAGACCTTTTGACCTGTGGATTGGCTGCAGGTAGCTTTGACAAGTTTCTTATCCGCCCCAGTGCCACTCCCCAGTCAGACAAGATTGTTCATTTCGGGAGGATTCAAATCAGTGATGCATGGTGTCACGTCCCACCTAGGAGAAGGGGAGAGTGACTAAGATCCGCAAATCCCCTCGGCGTGGATTAAGGTGAAATAACGCTCAAGGTCCAAAAACAAACTCCAACTTTAATGGCACGAACACTTCTATAAACATCAACCCTCTATGTCTTAATATATAATACAAGCTAAGCGGCTTTGTGAGGAGTTGAGGTAGGCCTTGTATTGCTTAACAACATCAAAACAGAGAGCGAGAAGGGGGAGGAGAAGAGAAAAAGAGAAAGGGAGAACTGGGAAGCAGGAGAGAGGTAGAGAGAGAGAGATAAAGAAATCACCAATCCTGGATCCAGCGTTGGACCTGCCAACGGGGGGTGTCG